TCGGTTTCCGCACCCCGGAACCAAAAAAAAAAAAAAAAGGCTGCCCCAGCCTGGGTGTGAATGCTACCCACCTTACAGGGTGGGTAACCTGGATAGGATATAAGGGATAGAAAGAGGGTCACTGCTTATCACTTTAGCTTGCTGCCTTGCTACCTTCTGCCTGCCATGAACTGCAGTGAACTCCTCTGTGATGCCCTCTGCCAGGCCACCCTGCCTTGGAGCCAGCTAATTATGAACTGAGACCTCTACAAACTGTAAGTTACAATAAACCTTTCTACCTTTAACTTTGGGTGTTGGATATTTTTCTCAACAAGACAAGTACCCAATGTGGCACCAAGATTTACCAGAGCTTGAGGTGTTCTTTACTGTTATTTACTGGCAATAAAAACGAATGCATAAAAAGCCTACTTCACTTAAGAATGCCCATGCTGAAGCATAAGAATTATTAACGTTATTCAATCCAGGCCCAACATCTGCTGAGTAGGAAGGATGGTGGTAAGCGCTTGGTGACCATCTAAAATGCTGAACGAATTTGCTGTTATTTTCATGAACCACTCAGTGACAAAACATGGTGATTCAGACTTGGGTTTTGGGCATGAGTTTCTTAAAAATAAATTGAGTCTATCATGTCAAGGCAAACAAATGGTGTATTGTTGTAGTGATAAAATACAAGCTGCTGGGTAAAAACCAGAATTTGAAAATTTGTATCCACCACTGTGAGCCTGACAGCTTTGGTTTACTTAATAACTTTTCTGATAAAGTGGGTGATAACATCAACAGGTGAGAGTTTTTAAAATGAAATGTGTTCATACTTGGATAATCTATGTAACTCAGTAACCAATATTTTCCAAAGGACCAATTCCTTATGTTAATGAATTATGCAGGGATAAAAGACTCAAAGTATAAGAGAGACCAGTGAATATTTATAAAGTACAAAAGTTTGATGATATGGTTTAAGATTCCACATTAAGTAACTATAATTTGTCTAGTTTTAGGATACCCCTAGTTTTCTGAAAAGACTGTGTTAAAGTACTTTTAATATTCTTAAAATACTTTCCAAATACCTATTCTGAGGTCATTATTTCTTCATGCACTTCAATCAAAATATCATATTGCAACAGACCAAATTCTAAAACAAAAATGAGACTTGAATTGACTTCTACTAAGCCAAATAGTAAGGACATCTGAAAAACAAATGTAAAACAGTGCTACTCATCTCATTAGTTTTGGGAGGGTGCTTTGGAAAAAGTAGGTTTTTTATTAAAATAGGTGTGTTAAATATGAGTTTACTAATGGTATTTTAATGATTTAATAAGTAAATGTTTTTTAATTTTTCAGTTTTAATTTCTAATACAGGAAATGTCAGTAGACACCATCCACACAAACTTGTCCAAGGCCCAGGCATCAGTGATGTGAGAGCCAGGGAAGAAACAGGTAGGTACTCTTCCCATGCCCCCAGATCCCCTTCTGTCTGGAGGGCACCCTATAATTCCAGGCTGTGTTCTAGCCCTGTTATCACTCCCCTATCTCACAGCAAGGAAGAGTGGCCCCACCTGTGAGGAACTGGCCATGGGTCCAGCCATCATGCCTCGGAAAATCAGGCCAGACTTGGGCCTGGCCTTCTCTCCTGCCTTCTTCACATCAGTACAAGGATCCAGCAAGTGAAGCTTGTCCATCTTCTCCCATGCTGATGTCAAAGGGGTGCTTTCATCTGGTACCATGTGCCCAGGCTTGCTCTTGTGCGGGGGCCTTTTGCGTGACAAATTACTAGCTATATCTCCATCAAGACTGTCTTGTCTGCAAAAAAGAAATAACTGCATTAAAATGGACTCCCCAAAAGGAATCAATAATGATGATAATAAATTCCACAACCATGGTCACTCAGAACAATCCAGTTTATATATACCTGTATATGTGTGTATATACATACTGGTGTATACATGTGTGTGTGTCCTGGTATATATGCATACATGTGTGTATGTGTATATACATGGGTGGATGGATATAGATATAGATATAGATATATGATGATTCTTAATCAGCCAGTGTGTTGTGATAAAAGGTAAGCAACAGAAAATACTCTGGTATCACAGCATCCAGCCTACAAAATAAACAGACATAGCAAACAAGTAAACAAAATCTGAAATGATGGTCCATGATATGATCCCTCAAGCTCTTGCTTAATCAGACCTAAGTGACCCAGGAAAACCAGAACCCTGCAAAACAGCCCTGGGATGTGTAGAACTTGGCTCCACTATGCCACTTGAGAGTGGTGGATAAAACCCATGGCAAACAGCATCTCCTGCCTATTCAGCAAAGTTTTACAGGTGTGCCAACATTGGCGGGGGGAGAGAAGGAGGAGACAAGCAGGAGGAGGAGGAGAAGTTAAGAGTGGAAGCAAGGAAGTTGTGAAAAAGAACAAGAGCCCAAGATATGAAGGAAGAGACTCAGTGAAAGAGGAGCCTTCCTAGGATTGCTCAGAAGCCAGCATTCTCTGACAGCCCAACTGCGCTCTACCCCTGGGCCATGGTGTGGGTGAACACTGACACCTGCTCTCTGCCACACTGCCCTCCAAGGCTGAGTCACACGTGACAGCAGCAGGTGCATTGCTGTGATGGGAGCCCGTCAGGCCAAAGGGGAGAGCCAGAAGGGCTTCAGCCAAGGCTGATCTGTGTCAAGAGACTGATCAGGTGAGAAAGCCCCAAGAGACCACGCCGGGCTAAGCAGACAGGCATGTACAGCAGGACGTGCCCAGGCAAGCAGGGGCACTGGTCACAGATGGAGTTTCACAAGTTAACCTAAGGAGTCTGGCTTTTCTCCTAAAAGCTGCAAGGAATGTCCATCCATCAGTCTTTTGGGAAGGAGCAGCCTGGCCAGACTTGTTTTGTGAGAAGCTTCCACCATGTCACGTGGGGGCTGGATATAAGGAGAAGAGTTGCACAGGGAAGAGGGTGGGTGGGAGTAGGAATGAGGCCCATGCCAGCAGTGAAGAGAGGGTGGTGGGGAAGTCGGGTGTCACTAGGGAGCTGACGAGACCCAAGGAAGGAGAATAAGGGAAGATACCCAAGTGCTGGCTTGAACTTCTTCATTGCTACATTTTTGTTTTGTATTGTTTCTCAGAAATATTTAATTTCTCAGCCAAGTGAATGCCTATGACAGAGGGACCAACTTCTTCATACCTTGAGATAATTACTTTTAACAGCCCCATCCTTTTGCAGTTTGACACCCAGTCCCTGAGCTTCAGCCGCCCTCGGGAAATGAAATGCTTTTCTTCTCAGTGAGAAAAAAAACAGATCCTTTTCCCAGAAGTTAAACTCACTATGGGGGACTGTTTAGGAGACTGCTGGTAAGGTAGAGTGTGACGTTGTAAGTTAATATTCTCCAGATAACAGAGGTTCAATTAAGAGTGCCAAATCACGTTCTTCTTGAGAGTTCCATGGACTTTATCCTTCAGATTTTCACTTCTATAGTGTTTCATTGCCTTTTAGAATATTATTACTCCTGCTTTTGAAAAAGCCCAGCAAAGCAGGCCCCTGAACCTTAGGTGTCTCAGAATATAAAATAAATAATTTTAATAATCAGTATCCTCCATCACAAAGAGCTTCAGTCTCATGACCTCTAGAAAAAAAATAATGGGGCTCCACAGCAGAAATTCTGAAGCACAGAGTATAGGAAGCTGAATAATGACCCCCCTGGAAAAAAAATCCAAGTCTTGATCCATGTAGACGGTGAATATATCACCTTACATTTGTAGATGTGCTTAAATTAAGCATCTTGAGATGGGAAGATCATTGTGGATTACCTGGTAGGCCCAGGGCCATCACTATGGTCCTTCTTGGAAAGAGACAAGAGGATGAAAGTAGTAAAGTAAATAAACCTCTTTTAGTAGTAGTTAGGTGATGTAACAATGCAAGCTTGAGTGGTGTGCCTGAAGGTGGAGAAAGGGCCAGCCGCCAAAGAAGGTAGGCCTTTCGGAGGTGAGAAAAGAGAGGTGGTGGGTTTTGTCCTCAAAGCAAAACCTCAAATGGACTGGCCTTCAGACACCTCACATGTATGCAGTGGGACTGACTTTGGACTTCTGACCTCCAGAATCCATTCACATTGTAAGAGACATTTACAGCCCGTTGACTTTAAATAAAACAGATTATAATATTCTCCACGATGCAGGCAGACCTTATCTGTTAATTGAAGGCCTTCAGACCAAAACCTGAGGTTTCTCAGAGAAGAAGGGATTCTTCTTCAAGACTATAACACAGAAACCCTGTCTGAATTTCCAGCCATCAGTCCCTGCCCTAGACAACAGACTTGCCAGCCACCACAACTGCATGAGCCAACTCCTTAAAATAAATCTCTTTATATATACTTGTGTGTGTGTGTGTGTGTGTGTGTGTGTGTGTGTGTGTGTGTGTATACACATCTACCTACACAGGCAGTCCCAGCTTACAATAGTTCAGCTTACAGTGTTTCAATTTGACAATGGTGTGAAAGCAATACACATTCAGCCGAAACCATACTTCGAATTTTGAATGTTGATCTTTTCTAGTGACTTGTAATACATTACTCTCTGGATGCTGGTCAGTGGCAGGAAGCTTTGGCATCTAGTCAGCCACAGGGTTACAACAGGAAACAATTGATACTCTACAGTGTATGGTGCTGCTGGGCTTTAATGTTCTGTAGGTCAAGTGAATTAAATGTTTTCGATAGGATTTTCTGACTTACAGTGGGTTTATTAGGACATAACCCCATCACAAGTCAAAAAGCATCTGTATATGCTACTAGTTCTATTTCTCGGGAGAACACTTGCTGATAAAACCACTAAGTTAGAGCAGCAATAGGAAGCTACTACACAGAGTAAAGGGAAGAGATACCTGGCCTTGCTTGTTTCTGCTAGTGGTGTTCTCCATCCTGTGTCTTCATCTGAAAGGTCATATATATTCACCAGCGTGGTCTCTGAGCATCTCACCGGCAATTTGTTATTTTTCTTTGGAATTGAGAGTGCAAGGATTGGAGTTTCTTGGTTTAAATTTTTATCCACATTTCCAGAGTAATCCAAAAAGAATCTAGTAATGAGTTCAAGGCTTGTTTTTAGAGGATTTTCTTTTGCCTATCAGTGAGAGGTGGGAAAAATCATTAATCGTGGATATAAATTCTTTGACATAAGTTTATTTACTTCTCACTCATTCATACAGGCTTTCAGCAAACACTACTGCATAAGCCAGGTACTGTGTTGGATAGGGATACAGAGATGAAGACAAAATCTCTACTGTAAAAGAACTACCATCCAAAGCATGGGTCAGGCAATCCAGTGAACAATCACAATATAATGTAATATGAATTCAGGAATGGCCAAGTAATTTTCCTTTATATGCAAATTCTCCTGGGAATAATTTTATAAAATACCTATCCTTTCATTTTTAAAAATTTAACTAACTCTGTAGATCAAGAAACATTTGGGGCCCGAATATTTTCTTAATGTATGACCTCCCCATGGAGCAGAAAGTTAATATGAAAAACATAAAAAGACACAGTGCACATGCCTGTAATTCAGCACTTGGGAGCTGAGGCAAGCAGATCACCACAAGGTCAAAGCCAGCCAGGGCTCCATGGTGTGTTCAAGATCAATCTGAATTACAAAGCAAACAAAAAAAGGGTTTGCCAGAAACCCTTGTGCTGTTTCAAGAAATGAAAAATGTCCAGAGGCAGTCAGGATGGTAAAATTGCCTCAGTCATTTGGGCAGACATAGCTATCCAAACAGGCTGGCCTCGGGCACCTGTTATTCGTCAGTCTTCACCCCAGGGTCTGCAAATATCCCAGCTCTGCTGAGCTGTGGTCAGACAAGGGGAGTCCGGGGATTTTGCAATCTATTAGTTAGTAGCAAAGCATCTGACAGAGTCTGGTGCAGAGAAGGCTTCAGTGTGTGCCCAGTCCTTCCCCTGCTATTCTTCTGATCTGACCGCAAAACTCAGACCAAGACCACATCAAGGGACTGTGACCAAATTCAACAGCCTTATCAGATAAGATCAAGGGGTAGTTTTATTTGTTTACTCACTTTCTTTTAGCATTGGACTGAGGGAAGGGAAGGGGAGGGGAGGGGAAGGAAGGGACCTCAGACACAAAGCCTCAACACAGGCAGGCATTCCACAGCCCGCCCATTCCCTCTCCCGCCGATGCCGGCCCCAGGCTGAAGGGAAGGGAAGGGAAGGGAAGGGAAGGGAAGGAGGGGGGGAAGGGGAAGAAAAGGGGAGAGGATGGGGAGGGGAGGGGAGGGAAGAGACAATTTTGCCTAAGTCTGAGGTCACAATGAACAGAGTCAAGGGAAAGAAATTATTTCAATTTCTTGCTTTTTCTCTCAGTAAGAGAGATGTATGGCCCTGAACTGTCTGAATCATACCTTAAGGTCTTCATATCACTTGCTCACAGCAGACACACGGCCTTTACATGAATCTAGATGTTGTTTTGCAAAACTTCAGTTTCACTTAAGCATTTAAATTCACCATATACCTCACAGGAAAAAACAAGTTCCTAGAAATATTAACATTAAATTGCAGGACTTTCCTAGGATCATATTACCTTTGGGCTGAATGAATGACAAAAATTGTCATGCAACAGCCTGATAAGCCCATATTTCTTTAAAATATGGGCTCCACTTTATTGTGTCATAGCTAATAACTACTATTTGAATTAAATAATCAGGGCTCTCACCAGGGTCTAATGAAAATATCTTAGGTATTTTAAGGTAACGTACTATATTATGACAAGGAAATAAATATAATTTGAATGGCAAAAGTACTTCTTGGAACTTAGGTAAAGGTGATTTTGCAGAAAATCTCAATGGACCAGAAGGGCTAGTTAAATTTTCTGGGCATCTATCTCACTTCCTGGGAAGAATATTCTCAATTGGTGTGGCACATGCTCCTGCCTCAGAATGTACCAGACAGAAGATTCGAGTGTCTGCTACTGAGGCTGAAGGTCTTCCTCCTCCAGCCCTCAGTTCAAGAGTGCACTCAGGAAATGGAGGCACGGTGTGAAATCCCAGACCCAGAAGACCAAGGCCAGCTGGGTGATGTCTTACCGAGCCTTTGAGATGACTTCACCTGGCTGCCTCCACCTTTTTCTCCTCAAAGGGAACAGGCCAGAATAAGGGTTTCTGGGAAGCACAGAGCACCAGGAGGGTGGGGGACTGTTGGTTGAGGTTTACAGATTTTCCTGGAATTCTGTTTCACTTTATGATTTAAAACCAGGCCTAAGATCCTCTCTGGCCCATTAGATGGTTTTCAAGGGCCTTGGAGGCTCCTCTGGATGTCTTAGAAATAGCCTTGGCCTTACCTCTAGATTAATATACTCTGCTGAAGTGTTATTTGAAAAAGAGAATGACAATTAAATAATAAGCTTGATCGCTATTACAGGGATGGAATTGGGAATCTGAATCCCAACACTGTAAGTGACTGAGATTTCAGACAGCCACTATGCCCTGGCTCACAGCTTCCCTCTGGGGATGCGGAGGGTCTCATTAAATCAGTGGTTTAAAGGCTATTTTACTAGGCCCTGAGGACTGGCCCAGAAGGCCAAGCAGGTAGGACCATCTTCCTGTTCCTGCTTCCAATAGGGCATCCTCCTTTGTTTTGTATATTGAAGTTCTGTGTGAGATACCATTGTACTGCCTTGGTTTTTAAATTATGGTAAATGCAGAACTACATGGTCAATCATAGTTTCTTTCTGACTCTGACACTATGAACCACAAGGCAACATGTGCCAGGGAAATTATTCGATAAATGAATTAGAAAATTCTGTCTTACTAACAGAAAGGTTAATTAAGTTGTAATTACAGCTTCATTCATTCACATATTCATTCAGTGACTCATTCATTTATTTCACAAAAACATACTGATGATGCTTCACTATTATCACCAGACAATAAATTAATTATAAGGACACAATAGCATACAAAAGAGAGATTGTCTCTGGCTTACTGCAGCATCCAAGTTCATGGGAGAGGCAGATATTAATTAAATAATCATATAAATATCCTATTGCAAATGTGACAGATCTACCAGGCACCATGAAAACCTGTAACAGCTTGTAAGTGGATGGAACCTGGGGATCAGGGAAGGCCGTCCCCACTGGAGCAAGCGTGTTCCATTTGCTTTGACTCCAAAGCACTTCTGCCTGAATTATATGTCACAGCAGACTTAAGACCAAGGTGTTACTTAGAACGGAAGAAGGAAAATCTCCTATAGGCAGGGGATGGAAAATTTTAGTATAACAATATTATATTCTTAAGTAGAGTCATACTAAAAATAGCTTCGTGTAGGGAGGGGAGCACACAAGAACAACAGTGGAGGCTGGGCACAGCCACAGGCTGGGGTTCAAATCAAGCACAAAACAACTCCACACACAACATGCCTGCCGACCAGAAGCGCAGAGCTGGTGGAAGAGGAAATCCCTAGGGCAGCCCTACGCCAGGCACCTGCCCCATGGGCGCTGCAGACTCAGTTCCGGACTCCACATCCCATCTTAGTAAGTACGTACCTTGTTCTCCCTGTAGAGAAGCTCAAGGTGCAAAACCTTTCGGAGATCATTTCTGCTGTTTATGCTGAGGTCAGAGCGAGGGCGCTCCTGGTCCATGGTCACACATGTCTTCTTCAGGCCCTGAAGGAAGATGTCTGAGTTATTGCTTGCTTCTTTAAATCAAAACTTTCTGTCTTCTGAAGCAGGGTAAACAAGAGACAACTGATGTTTTTCATTATGATCATTCTCAAACACTGACTTAAGAATTCATTTTTATTTAAATCCTACACTTGGCATATAACCTTCACAATTTTTCTGAATTTTACAACAGCCCTGTGGTGACCGGTCAGCTAAGGCTGGGGTTGACAGCCCTTTGTATTGATAAGCAGTAAAATCCAGGTAACCTACACATCCAGAGCCAACTCTGAGGTCTGGAGCTTGGCCCTACAGTTGTAAGTATGAAGTACAGTTGGAATACAAAGCTTTAAAAATAAAAGAAAAAATAAACAAGGGGCCAATATTCATTCCCTTCATTTCCCAAATGGAGAAACCAGGAGACAAGGAGGGTTTCCTAGTTACATGGGAGAATCACACAACTGACCACTCCAGCCTCTGAACCTGTGATTCTGGGACCTTGATCCATGGGAAGCCCCTGGTAAATGTGTAGTAAGTAGCCAGAAAAGCCACTGTCTCTCATCCCACCCTGGCCCAAAGACTGAGGTCCTGACAATGGTAAATTACTCTTGTCACAAGCACCTGGCTTCTACTTGAAAAACAACCCCAGCAGCTGCTGCCTATAATCCTGGGAGCCACTGTGGGCATCAAATGTCTAAAGGATGAGACAATGCCTCACAAACCTCTCAGCCTCTCAGCCTGTGTCAAGGGATTCCTTGCTCCAGATGGGATCCCAGACTTCCAGTGCTAGGCCAGGCTTGACTTTTCCTTTAGCCTTTGTATTCAGAATTTCGTAGAGATGCTAGCTAGTTGAAAAACAAGACCAGACCTGCTGCCTGCTATGAATTTCGGTAAGGAGGTTCACTGGAGCAACTACAAGAATGAACATGGCCTTGGAACAAGGAGAGTGAAAAAGAGGTCTTAGGGAAAGGGCACAGAAAGAAATGCATGTGGCTGTTGGAGCACGGTAGATGAAGCACATGAGGGAGAGTCAACTGGAAGGAGAGGTGGGGCTCCAAAGCAACCACTTGTGGTTCATGTGGGCTTAACCATGGCCTTCCCACCTAATGTGGTATGGGACGTTCTACATGAAAGGATCCTCCCTCTCTGGTGGATATCTGTATGTTCATCGATAGTTCCAGTCAGCAAATGTTGGTACCTTTAACACCCTCTTCGTGTGAAGGATGCAAGCACTTGGGGAAGTTTACAAGGATGTTCTCAGGAGTCAACAAACCCTCAACCCCATCCAGCCCACTCAATATTTCACTCAAAAAACACGGGCCCTATACCTACTATGTTCCAGGCTCTGCTGTAGACGTAGGGATGCAGAAAGAATAAGAGCTAACATTCTTTGGGGAAATCAGCCTATAAATCAATGGTAAGCATTCAGTCATGCAGCTGCTAATATGCACCACTATGGAAACAATACAGGAAAAGCAAATAGAAAGACAAAGGGAGCTATTTTAGATAAGCAGCTATTTGTTTGGCATCACCACGTGCTCTCTTGTCTTCTGGTTTCCCCATTTGTGAGCTGAAAGGCATGAACCACTCATTTACCAGTCCATCTGCTAGAGGCAGAGAGGTGAACAGGTCAAAGATCTACCCTCCTACAGCTTACATTCCATAGGGGAAAGACAAGAAGTCTAATATGCTGTGGGGAGAAAGGTATATATAGTAGGGTAAGAAAACAGAAAGACCCAGGAGCTGGTGTGGGGAAGGAATGCTATTTTGTGAAAAATGGCCAGGAAAGCTTCACTGATTGGGTGACAATGAGCAGAAATATGAGAGAAATGAAGGGTCAGCCCAGACAGACACTTGGGAGAGTAGTGTTCCAGGCAAGAAATAGCAAGTGCAAAGGACCTGTGGCAATTGCAAGAGCTAGTGCATCTACAGCTTTATGGCCAAGGAACAAAGGGGAGATATCAGGTCAGAAAGGTCACCCAGGGCCTGACAAGGAAAAAGCAAATAGGCTTTGGTGAAGAGGGAAGGACTACTCTGGTATGAAAAACTATAACAGTACATAAGATCCTAATGAGATAATTGACAATGTGAAATAGGAAGAAAAGGACTAAAGGTGTAGAGAAAGTGGGAAGAGTAGCGGAAAGGGAATAAGGGAAAACAAAAAAATACGAGAAAATGAAAAAATGGAAATAAAGTGTTTGTAAATGGGGAGGGGAGGAAGGGGTGAAAGGAGGGCAGGGACAAGGGGAAAAAATGGGAACCACGATCTGTCATGTAAAGGTACAAGATCCCAATAATGAATGTAACTGTACTGTATACCTCAAATGTACCAATAAACTCTATTTAAAAAAAAAAAAAGAAGGAAGGGCTACAGGAGGATTTGAGAAGAGAAGGGTGAGGGACTAACATTTTTAAAGGATCACTTGGGGGCTAGGTTGAAAACACAATATAGGAGACAGGTGATTAAGCAAAAACAACTTAGGGGGCCACTGAACAATTCACAGTTCACATGACAGACAGCAGTGACACGTACCAGGGCAGAGGTGATAAGAAGTGGCTGCTTTCTCTGTCTGTTCTGATGGTAAAGCCCACAGACTGTCTGATGGACTGGATGCAGGTTCATAAGAAGGAAAAGAGCCCCTAACCTGTAGGGTGTGTGCTGACTCTAGGTAGTGTCAGAATTGAGGGGAATTGTAGGACACTCAGCTGGTGTGCAAAGTGTTGGAGACCTTGTTGTTACGGGGCAGAAGACACACATTTGGTGCTAAAAATGTTGTGAGTCGAGCCACTGTCAGAGGCAGGATGAGATAATTAGACATCCACATGGAAATATAGCATAGTCAAAGAGTTCAGTTCAGGGTGAGGCCAGCGGGAGATAGACATTTTGAGATAATCTGCAGATAGAGGATACCGGAACCCATAAGACTGGCTGAGATGCTTAAAGAACACATGGAAAGTAGAAGGGAAAATAGCCATATAGTGAGTCTTTGATCCGCATTCACAGCACAAATCAGGGAAGGGGTGGGGGACAAAGAAGGAACCCCCAGAGAAGGTGAGGGAAAGACAAAAGCAGATGTCACCTGGGAGCCAAGAAGAAGAGCATAATCAACTGTTGCAAACACAATTCTCAGTTCAAAGAGAGCAAGCAGTGAAAATGAGAGATCAGTGAGGATTTTGATAAGAGCAGTCTCCCTGGATTGTGGGGATAAAAGCCCAATTAAAATGAGCCTGAGAGGAAGGGGCTGGGGATTCAGCTCAGTGGTGCCACTGCCTGCCTCACAAGCACAAGGTCCCAAGTTTGATCCCTGGTACCAAAAAAATAAAATAAATAAAATAAGCTGAGAAAGTTGGAGGCAGAGGTGGAATCAGAGTACACAGCTCTTTCATGGGGTGTGGCTGTAAAGGGAGAGGTAAAGACTCCCAGCCACAAGGTTTGGGGGTCAAGCTGGGGTGAAGTAGGAGCCTGTATGTGTGCTGATAAGAATATCCCAGAAGGATGTATGGAGAGGGGATTATTCAGGGAATCAAGCGGGGATGGAGTGACTGGTTTGGGCCCAGAAAGGTTTATACATGTACAGGTGGGAGCCTATTGACCATTCTCGCTTCTCATGACAACTTCTGCTTTTTCAGTGAATTCAGATGCGGAAAGAACTTTGGGATGAGGAGAGAGAAAGTGGGGTGCTACCCAGGATTTGAGAGTGATCAGGTACACAAGCACCCCTGGGACACCACCGTGTGAGCGGCCATGGCCTTAAAGTGATGTCGTCAGCTTGGTGGTGATGTTCTGTAATCTCTTTTGGGTCTGCAGGGGCAGACACGGAGGAGGCTGAGCTGACTTTTACCCAGCTAAGAGAAGAATAAGGGAAGGAGGAGAGACGGGCAAGAGTGTGAAGCAGGTTAGGAAGCACGTGATTATGACAGTGGGTGGGTAAGACAGAAAAGTTGGCAGGAACGATGGATACACACGTGGGTAAGGTTGAAAAATAGGCTGTGTGGGACTGAGAAGAGGAATGCGCTGAAAAGAGGCAAGGTGGGATGTTTGGAATTGAGATCACAAAAAGGGTGCAGCACTAGTATGAACAAGCCTGAGCCCCAGGAAAGGGTGTCACATTGGGGTTGGATCGCTGCAGGAGGGATCACAGAACCCATCACATTAGAGGAGTCACCGAACCCTGACACTACCAGGGGCTTCTCAGGAGTCTCCTTGAGAGCAGACTACACTTAGGGAGTCCAAGGACACCCTCATGGCTGGAGGGTAGAGGACTATGGAAGCCAGGGTGGAAGTGCGGCAGGATTTAAGAGATTGGAGTGACCCCTGGGAAACAGGAAGATTCATTTAGGTTTTAGGTGAACACAGACTGAACGACTCAACAGACTAATGTCCAGAGGTTGAGTGGGGAAGAAAAGGGAAGGTTCCAGTTTATACACTGGGTCAAAGGGGTTGGTCTTCCTAATGATGTAGCAAGCAAGTTTACAGAAACAGGACAAGGGCAGGAAGTTTTATAATTTCTCCTTGATAGAAGACAGAGCCTCATGAAACTTGTGCGAATGACATAAAATGTGTTTATAGGACATAGTTGCCAAGTTTATCTGTACCAGAACAAGAAGTTATGGAGCAGGGATCCAAGGTTGGGAAAAACTCATTTTTCTTCAAGTTCTGCTTCAGAAGAAGAGGTCTAGGGGAAAGCCAGGTCTTGAAGGATCAAACAGTGATAGGAAGTCAGAGGAGGGTTTGAGCAGGGTAGTGCTTTGGTCTAGCCTGCTCACCCTGGGTGAGTTTTTTGGTCACCTGGTCTCACAATCATACTGTGTGAAAAAGAACAATGAAATTATTTATCTCTCTCAGGACACTTCGAAGAATTTGAGAAAACAGCATCCAGAAGGTGCCTGGTTCCGTGATGGAAATTCTGCTCAAGACTGCTGAGTAGCTGCCCGTGTGAAGCCTGTGCAGAAGCCCTGAGCTGGGTGAGACCAGGAGCCACCCAGCTCTGCGTGACTTCCTGAGTGACTCGGCCCACTCCTTTCTACTCTCAGGACCTTCGTGTGTGATGACGAGACATGGGAGGCAGAGGAGGCCAAGGGGACTAGGCGGCTTCTAAAGTGCTGCCCTGTTCAGGGGTCATCCCTGGGGCCGCGTGTGGACAGCGACACAGGTGGATTATTAACTGTGACAGACGCACCAATAGGCACACCCAGACAACATGAGTCAAGGATCACTCTGGCTGAAGTCACCTGAGAAGCTCTCCGGAAGAGGGAATTTGGTTGGGGTGGACCTGGGTGGATCAGGGGAAAAAATAGGGGAGAGGCTAAAAATGAGGATGGGATGGTAAGCTGGAGTCGTGCTGTCAGGCACCCATGGGTGTCTTCGAGACTTTTGATCTCGTCCGTGTCCAAGAAAGGAAGGGCCTGAGGAAGCCCTCTCTCAGAGTTCTGCCTGATGCCCAGATGTAAAGGAAACACTGGGAGCGGTCAGCCTCGCAGGGTGTGTCACTGACACCCAACAGCCAGGCCCGGTGATGGAAGGTCAAAGCAAGAATGATGAAGCCAGATGCATTAAAACAATTTAAATAAAAACAAAATATAAATATGCACAAGGCCCTGAGTTCAATCCCCTTACCACAAAAAAATAAAATAAAATGTGAAAAGCATACGAAAGCACTTTCAAAACAAGTGTACGTCAGAGATGGGGACGCAGGTATAAAGTTAATACCTATGTGCACATTTTATCTGTGTGTCAGACATAAGGCCTGGGAGCTACCCATATACTGTATTATTATTAATGCTCATTTCAAATCTGCAAAAGGTGAATCTGATTTTTCTACTTTAGAGATAAAGACAGTAACATGCAGAAGCTTACACTTTCACACTGCAAACTAGTAACAAATATTTGAACCTCCTCCATCCAACTTCTCCATTCAGATAGTTGTGTGGGAGCCTTGCGTGATGGTGCACACCTGTGATCTCAGCACTCAGGAGGCTGAGGCAGGAGGATCTCCTGAGACCATCTCAAAAAACAAAGCAAAAGCGCGGAAGGGCAGGGAGGGTCAACCTCAGACAAACGTCCCCCAGCCCAACTCAACAGTGCATCACACAAAACAGAACCCTTAGCGCATGGCCCTCAGGTACTTCTCATAGAATAAATAAATGGATGATTCCCAGCACCTCCCGTTGGTGATCCCCAACCAGCCCCTTCCACACCCAGGACGCCATCACTGCCAGAGCAATTTAAATACTTTAAAACTCTCCTGGGACAAAAACACAAGGAGAATTTACAAATTTCTCCTACAAAAAAAATTAGTACTACAGCGGGACTCTCATCATTGATTAAAATGACTAACGGTTTGACTCTCAAGAACTTTTCTCAGCCCTTTGGGCTCGTTGGGGGAAGTGTTTTCCCAGTGGTCCTGGAACGAGTAATCCTGGAGGCCGAAAACCCAGCTCGGGCTGCAGCCCACCTGCAGAACCCGGAGCCAGAAATACTTAGCTTCGCCCTGGAGACCCTGCCCAGCCAGCTGCTGCCCACCCCTGCTCAGAGCAGAGGCTTCAGGAAGGAGAGGAACTGCCATCCCGCCAGGCTTTGCGGAAGCGCCCCGGTACAGTGACAGAAATGGCTCCTGGGAAATGTAGTTCTATCCTGAGAAAGGGGCGCACCAGTAGGGGCATCTCTGACGCTGGCAGCAGCAGGCCAGGAACACTCCCTCCCGAAAGAGGCCAGCAAAGTCCCAGAGTGCTACCCAACACTAGAACCACGGCCTGGGCTTCGGAGGGGTGAACCATTACCTTTCTGCTGAGGAACTCCCTGACCAGGGAGGCGGCCACCTCCTCCACAAAGAGGCTGTCCATGCTGTCGGTTCTGCCCACGAGGCCTCCACGGTCACAGCTCCAGGCCTCGCAATCCGTTGAGCCCAGTATGGTCGTGTTGCCGTGGCGACAGTGGCTTGTGAGCTAGCGAGAGCTCCTCCCCTTCCCTGGTAGCCGCCTGCAGGAAGGCGGGGAGAAAGGGAGGGGCCTCCACGCGTGGTTTCTTTATGCTTCTGGTTTTTTTTTTTTGTTTTGTTTTGTTTTGTTTTTTGGTACCGGGGATTGAACTCAGGTCCTTGCTTGCAAGGCAGGCCACCGAACCGTTGAGCTAAATCCCCGGCGCGCCTCCCCCCACCCCCTTTTTAGCGTGTTTTCTCAGTCCAGAAGGCAGCTGCAAAAGGCAGCCAAGGGCTTAGGCCCGGACTCTGGATTCAGGGCTGATGCTGGCCCTAGGACAAATCACCACTGCAATCTGCTGGCCCCAGGACAAGTTATGGATGCAATCTGAGTCTCCATTTCCCCAGATATAAAGTGGAACGCATGCCTGCCTCCTTGTTCCTAAAGAGTCACACTCACAGTGAAGGGGCCCCTATGGTCCACTCATAGCACCGAGCCCCTTCTGGACTCACTGACACCTGGCCTGGGTGGCCGGACTCTGCTTCTGGAAGTCTGAATTAAAGGACAAGTCCCCACCCCCCTTGGTGACAGCTTTCCCACAATGAGACTGCTATGGTTTGAACATCAGGAGACTTATATAATACATATGACCCTGTCTTTAATACTCACAGACTCCTGGCATTGTGGTCACTATTGGTCCTATTCTTTAAAATCAGACACTGAGACTCAGAAAGGTAAAAATTTTCCTGGAAGCCATGCAACCAAGAACTGGAAAAGCTGCGATTCCAGCCAAGATCATATCTTTATCTGGGGCCACTTCCCCAAACTCAGCCACTTGAGTACCATTTTCATGATCTCCACCACAGCTGCGCCTCGCCTATTGTATTGGTTTGCTAGGGTTATCATAACAACATACAACAGTGAACTTATTGTCGCACAGTCTGGGAGCCTGGAAGTCCAAGATCAATGTGTCATGGGGTTATTCTTTGGAGCCTCTGTCCTTTGCTTAGAGATTGGCATCTTCTTCCTGTGTCTTCACAGTGGCTTCGCTCTGTGTGAGTTTGCATCTTATCCCCTCTTCCTGTAAAGACACCAGTCAGTAGGATTACAGCACACCACCATAATTTCATTTTTACTTAATCACCTCTTTAAAGAGCCTGTCACCAGATGCAGTCACATTCTGAGGTGCCAGGCATCAGGACTTTAACATATTAGTTTGGGGAACATAACACAGCCCATCACATTTATACTGTTAACCTATTATTTTCTTTAACCTGGCATCCATGTTTTAAATTTTCTTTTAAAAAGAAAGGGTTCCCAAACAATAATATCCACAAAACTATAGATCTGGTGTGTTTGATAAATCTCTAATATACATTAAAACAAATACAAAACCAGAAAGGAACACACGCATCGAAAATCAACTCATTCCACAGTTGGGAAGCAACCATAACCGTGCTGCACAGTCTCCCAAGGACATCTCTGTTACATGATGGGTTGCATTATAATCAGTGGGCATCCTCTCCCTCTGACCCATCACAGCTCTCTGAGAAGGCACATTTAAGCACTCACTACCAGGTGAGACCATGCACATGTGTTCAGTTGTGGGTACAGAGCTGCAGGAGACAACCTGATCTGTACACAGGGGATGCTCTGCTCCAGTTGCAAAGACACTAATGGATGTGTAGTAATTTGAAAATGGCACAAAACAGATTTATGCTCCGGTAACAGATGGCTTATCATAGATACTAGGTGTTACGTAATAAGTCAGAAGAAAGAGTCCTCTCCATAGAGGCAGATCAAAGTGACATTGGAGCAAAGAGAAAAAAGCCATTCATTTATCCATTCATTTACTCATTAATAAATATGTAGTGGAGCTTTCTGGGTTTCAGATGTTCAGATACTGTGGATTTAACACTGTAAAATCTGTATCTTCTTGGAAGGAGAGACATGGAGGGCAATGAGAATAGGGAGATACAGATAAAAACAAATTTAAAAAACACACTGACTTTTAAAATCGTGTCATAAATATTTTTAATCATAAATTTAAAGAGAAAATGATACAGGAGTATTAGTTTTTGACGGAGATCAGAAATAACATTTTTTAAAGTTCATCAGGTAAGATTACATAGATAGTAATATCCTAGCAAAAATCTGAAGGATGAGAGGGTGTGGCTAATATAGAGTGTTATGGCTTACGTGCCCTGAAAGCCTCATGAGGTCAGAGATGAGTTTTTTTTCAGAGGTGACTGGATCTAGGGTGTGTGATGCTAGGATTAAGTGGGTGATCCTGGGATTGAAGATATGATGCTGGGATTAAGAGCGTCCCACCCAGGGGGTGAGTGATACCACCCAAGAAACAGGTAGCCTGGAAAGGCAAGTTTGGTTGCTGTTGTTACTACTTTACTTCTTTGCTGCCTTCTGCCTGCCAAGAACTGTTTCTCCTTTGCGATCCCCCTCTGCCATGTCACCCTGCCTTGGAGCCCACCAACAATGGATTGAAACTTGCAAAATGTGAACCAGATAAATCTTTCCTCCTTTAACTTTAGGTGTGGGATGTTTTGTCTCAGGAACGAAAAGTAACTAAGATACAGAGTTTTAGCACCCAGGCAGAGGGCATGGCCAATGAAAAGGCCCTGAGATGGCACCGGCGTGACTGTGTGTGAAATAGGAAGGCCAGAGGGGAGCAGTGAGACTGAGAAAACAAGGACCCACCTGTGTGTCCATCCTCAGGACTCCAGCTTTTACTCCGAACTGGGAATCCTTGAGAGAGGAAGAGAGAAAAGCTCCGGCTTAGGTTTGACAGGATCTTTCTGGTTCTTGTGTTGAGAATGGCATGTATAGGGGCAAGTATGGAAGCAGAGAGGCCAATTAAGAGAATTGCAGCTATTAGTAATCAGGGAAAAATTTAGGCTGGAGAGAGGGACAGAGAGAGAGAGAGAGAGAGAGAGAGAGAGAGAGAGAGACTCTCCTGGCTCTGAATCTTTTCACCACATGGAATGAAATGGTTATGCAAGAGGTGGAGCGATGAGCTCTTCTTCCAAACACATATCTGACTCCTGGGAACATGATAACCTTAAAGTGTCAAGTAAAAAGTGTCTTGTCAGTATGGGAAAGGCAAAGATATCCTTACAGAAATCTGAGGAAACCAGATTACCACATACGTCCCTTCCTTTCCTGCAGATTTCCTCCAAGTCACCCTGACTTCTCCACACCGTTCCTGTGAGCTGGAACATTCCCACTGAGCACAGGAGTCCACCTACATGAATGCAAATGGAAGGCAACATCCTCAATGATGACTCCTTATAAATAATACACAAGCAATAATATCATCCAAATAAGGACTCGGTCTTTACAAATGTCTGTGTGGGTCAGCTTTCCATCACTCTGTCAAAATATCCAGGACAAACAACATATAAGGGAGAAAGGTTTATTTTGACTCATGGTTTCAGGAAGGTTCAGTCCATGATCATGTGACCTTGTTACTTTGTGGTATAGTACATAATGGCAGGAGCACATGGCAGAGGAGGTCCACTCACTCATGGATGCTGGGAAGTAAAGAAAAAGGAAAAGAGGCTGGATCCCAATATTCCCTTCAAAGTCACATCCCTTGTGACCTCACTTCCTTCCTCTAGGCTCTGTCTCCTAAAGAGTCCACCATCCCCTCAGGGGTGCCGCAAACTGATGACCAAGCCTTAAGCATATAAACTGGGGGAGGGGGGGTGGGCATGGGGGATTTATGATCCCAACCATAACAGTTACAGACAGCATAGTATCTTTATGTGAACTTTTAAAAACTTAAACTATGAAATGATAATTTGTGGGAAAATAAAGGTTCGGTAAAATTTTATAAAAATAAAAGCAAAGAAATAAAGATGATAAGATTCAGAAAAGCAGTTGGCAGGAAAGAATCACACAGATGAATGTGAGTAACCATCAGTGTCATTAGAGCACTTACTTTTTAAACATTTGTTTTATTATTTTTATTGGTTCATTAGTTAATAAAAGATGGCCACGGAGAGACCAGTGATAACAGTATGTCATGAACCAAAGTACATTATTAATTCTGTGCCCCTAAGATACAGAGGAAAGAGAGGGGAGGAAAAGGAGGGACACTGGAGGGATAATTAGGGAACATAGCACAGCTTTCAGAGCTTTTGTGTGTGTGTGTGTGTGTGTGTGTGTGTGTGTGTGTGTGTAGTCATACACATCTCTGCACAGTTGTGGCTCTGTCCATCTGTGTTTCAATGAGGTCTTGTGTTTGTGTGAGTCTGTCAGCCGGGGTTCATAGAGGTGCCCCCTCTCCAATTCTATCTGGTTCCCTGTTGGTTGTGTTAGAAGAATGCATCAGATCTCTTATGGAGCTTAAAATAGGGAGACAAGGCCTGCTGCATGAGACCAGGTGCTTTGTGACAACATGAGGAGCAAGGGGTTCTCCTCAGGAAGCTCTACAGAGAATACTGGAGCATGGACGCTCCCCACCACCAGGCTCCTTGATGGTAGGGCAGAGTTGAGTATTTATTGGGGAGGGAGTCCGTAGATTTCCAGAGAACCGTATTTGCTTGCCCAACTGTCCCCTTTCCAAGGCCAAAGCAATGGAAACATGGAGCTCACCAGGTGGCTCCTATCCAGGCCAGCTGGGTTGGAAGGACATTGTGAAAGCTTTCTTTAATGACTTGATACCAAGATTTTCCCAGCTGTCTGGCTACTATCCTGAGAGGTCAGAACAAGAGGTCCAGTCAAGGCCATTGCCTCTGGCAATGTGATGGAGCAGCTCATCCACACTCCCCACAGCTCATCAGACACCCCCAGGCTCTAGCTCACCTGACACCCTCAGGCTCCGCTCCTGGTCTGGGTCTACATGGACACCAATATAGCGGAGGATGAGGTCCCAGGACCTGGCAGACCACAGCAGGGTAACATGGGACAGACTTTCACCCATCCAAAGCACCCTAGACCTCCTCATTGTGACCCTGAACTCACACAGATAGTGCTATCGGTGGGAGGACAAGGCAGTCAGAAGTGCCCCTCAGGAGAGGTAGAGAGGGATAAAACCTGCTCTGATGAGCCAGGAGAGAGGTCCCTTGCAGGGCAGATAGAAGGCACCCAGCACAGGAGGGCCAGGCAGTGCCTCTCTCCTCAGGGCCTTGGGTGGAATATGCACAGCCACCACAGCCTGACCCAGTCCTCTCACCCCAGTGTTCTGGAGGCAGCTCCCCTACAGAGTAGGGGTGGTGCATACCAGAGGTGGGAAGACTGAGTGCAGAGCTCTGAGAATAGGCTCTCAGCCAACTCGCCAGTGATCACCTGGGAGAGGCCTGAGGCATGCAGGAGATACAGAATGGCCCTCATGTCCAGCTGAGTCCTATGGAGTCGGATAGGACATCCTCCATTGGACCTGGGCTCCATCTGCAGAGAAAGCTGCTGCCTCCTCCTGGGGGCACTCAGGCTGGGGAAGAAATCTCCATCCGGAGACCAGTGACCCTGGTACAGAGGGTCCTGGTTTCTTGTTCCTGTCAGGCCTACAGTTCCCCTAGGATTGGCATGGGAATGGCATGAATGAGGCAATGGGCTCTAGACAAGTGGGCTTAGGGGAAAAGAACAAAGCCAGGACCAGTCACGTTTAACACAAAAGAACATGGCTGAGGAGGCTGGGAATTAGCTGGCTGGTATGGTTTATATCTAGACATCACCTATGAAATTCACGCACTCAAGGGCAAGGCTTTTGAAAGAAGATTGGATTATGGGGTGATATAGTTGACGTTTTGTTTGAAAGTGGAGTCTGGTCAGAAGAGTCCAGCCACTGAGGGCATGATGTGGAAAGATGAATCTTCTTTGCAACTCTTCCCTTCTCTGTCTGCTTCCTGGATGGCTTGATGGGAACAGATTTCCTCTGCCAGGGGCGCTGGCCAGCCTGAGTCTGCCCTGGAGCCAGCCAATCGAGGACTACAAATGTGAAGCAAAATAAACGTCTCCTTTAAGTCGTGGTTGTCAATTATTGTGTCCCAGCAATGTGAAAGTGACTCAGACAGAGAAGTTGGGTTGCTGTTGTGATGTTTCCTGAGCATGTGATTCAGAACCTTTCGGAAATGGTTCACTGGAGGAGTTTGGAGAGGTTTGGAGATGCTGGGTAGAGAAGGAGCCCCGGACTGGTATAATACAAATCTCACTGCTTTTAAAGAGATTTACAGAGAAGCATGAGCAAAAAAGCTCATTTTAAAAGTTTTCAGTTGCACCACAAATGAAACAATGTGTAAAGCTGGAGCACAGGAGAGCTTCTTGGTTCTTGAAAAGACTAGCATTAAAATACTCCAAGTACTTCTCCTCAGGACAATAGGAAGGATGACTTGAGAACATGTAAGACCCACACTTGAAGACGAAGAATGACAAAAGTAAAAGATTTTCTTTTGAGAACACTGCTACAGGGCACCCTATGCAAGAAGGCCTAGAGAGCCATCTAAGGATTTGGTTCTCTAGGCTTCAGTTCACAGTACTCAGCCATCCAGGCACTAAGAGTCTGGTGGGGCCATAAACCAAGGGGACCTGGCTACTACTGGAGATGGCACCAGGTCTTGGTGCTATCCATGTGGTGCTGGTTTTACAAGGTTGCAGAATGCAAGCTTTACAGGGTCATGAATGTTCCCACCCCAGATTTCAGAAGACCTCTGGGAGGTGATACTGTGCGTCCTGAGAGGGCACTGTGTATTTGAGAGTGGAGCCAAACAAGTTGAGAGACACCAGTTGGAGATGCCAGGAATGCGAGACATAAGCTAAGGAAAGCAGCAGGCAGTGAGCAACGCCACAGCAAGAGAGAGGCCACTGGGGCTTCAACAGGAGGTGCCATAGGGGCAGGGCTAGGCAAGCCATTTGGAGTTCAAATGTCCTCACACCTCACCCCAGGTGCTGGTAGTACAGGGGTGTACTTCCTTTCCTAGTCCACAGTGCCACTGGGGGTGGTACAAGAGGTGACACATGACAAAACTGAAGTGTGCTGGAAGGTTCTGGACTGTGGCTTTCATTTTAAGAACAAATATCAAGCACCTTCCCTCCATTTCACTACCTAATTAAAACTATGCATACTACCTGGTGCTAGAACAGCCATTTTGTAACTGTGAGTAAACACCGTGTTAATCACAGAGACCCTAGCTCTGTTGTCCTTGAGTCTCTAAACGACAAGTTAACTGGGGGAAAAGACAGGGAAGGCATTAGAGGTAAATCTGGTATTACATCCTATATTAGGAAACCTCCTAGGAGGGTAGCAATCTACTATACATAGGAGTCATGCATGACGCACAAATGTAATTCCCCTACCTGAAAAGGAAAGCCAGAGTGGGACTGCGTCCTTTTAAAAATTCCGGCACCTCCTCACACACGCCCCCTAGACCCCGCGGTTTCAGCAGCATATTACAGGTTCTGCTAGTAGCCAGGGTGAATCTATGTGTTTTATTAATGTGTGTAGCAAGTGCAGGTTATCAACATGTGCACACAGGGCAGGTACACAGCGCAGTCCCCATCCAGCCTGGCCACTCTAACATGCCAGCAGCTCCCACCAGCCCCTGGAGTCTTCCTCACAGCCTTCCACCCTCCTCTACTCTCACACACCAAACTGCCACAGCAGCGAGGCCCAGAACTTGCTGCTCCGTGTCTGTTGCCCATGTCTCGATCAGCTCGCCCTCCACGGGAGGTCCCCACCCAGAAAGAGGAACACATTCGCCACTTCCTTTCCTTGACAGCCCCTCCCCTGGGCATTGCCTGTCTGCAACCCTTCAGAATCCAACCTATGTTGAAGAGAGAAACTTCATATGTGATCAAAATTCCAGACCCCAGCTCATTTCTGCCCATCTCTCCCCTGTTCCTGGACATGAGTTCCTGGCCTGGAGCCACCCTACACCATGCCTCTCCAGACAAGTCCAGAGGGGTCTTCTGAGACCAGTGCTCAGCTGGGGTCTGCATGATTCTGAGAATGAGGAAGGCAGAGGGGTGCTCGGGCTAAGAGAGCTGAGGATGAGGGGACTCCCTTCCCTGCTAAGCCCCAGACATCTGGTAGGTGGGACGGGCCAGGAAGAAGGACACCGGGCTTCCCATTCCAACCCTGTATGTCTCTAGGGAAGCCACCTGGCTTACTTAATGGGTTAGAAAAATCTGGAGAGGCCTTGGTAATTCTCAAAAGCTATTCTAGCTCTGACCCTCTGGAAAATTCATGCCAACGTATTAATTTGTACAAAATCTTTTACTTCTCCAAGCACTTTTGCATCTATGCCTGCCCCTAAAACTTTCCAGTAAATTATTAGATGAGACCTCTTCCTCTTACCCCACAGGTAGGGAACACGAGGTCCAGAGAAATGGCAGGGCTGAGACTAGAATCCTGGTTCCCTGACTCTTCTGAGGGTGGCTGTGTCCAGCTCATCAGGGTGGACCCCACACAGAGGTGACAACTGAGGGGGTAAGGGGAGGGTCTGGCAACAGGGGCTCAAGGGAGAGATCAAGTCAGCTCAAGGAAGGGACTTGTTCTTCCAGCAAGTGCCCAGAGAAAGGAACACAAGGCACCTTTGGACAACTCATCAACCAGGAGGACACCTTCTGGTAATGTGTCCTAGCAGAAGACCCCTATCTAGTTTACGCAAAGACACCTATGTTCTAGACACAGTCCTGACTCCTGGGCAGGACCTCTTATAGCTCTGGAGCTGGAAGTGTAGTGCTAGAGTGGGTTTTCCAGATGACATAGAGGACACCTGGGTAAAAATAAATTGCAGATGAGCAACAAATAATATTTAGGAGAAGTACATCCCATACAATTTGGAGGACATACTTATCCTTAAAAAACGTTATTTCATTCATCTAAAATTATATTAACTGAGCATCCTATATTTTTTATTTGCTAAATCTCCCAGCCCTTATCTGTTTAGGCTGACTCATATCTGTGTGTGAGAGCTGATGCTAAGATTTTTAGGAGTTTCATAAGACAGAAGTTAAACCCCTGGTAGCTTGAGATCAGCCATGATGGGAGCATTTGCACCACAGAAGTTGGCATCACTGCAAAATCAGGGCTTTTGCCTTAGTAGAGCTAGTTTTGAAACCCTGTCAACAGGCTACTGTCCTCGTCTTCGCTATCCTGGGTAAAGGTTGAGACTGTGTCTCGGGGGCTCTGGAGTTACACGGGAGTCAGAGAGCTCAGGGTATTTGAAGTGGAATGTCCTCCTAGGGTCCAAGGACAAGGTATGTTAGAAACTTAGATCTCTAAACGGGGATATTAGAATCTCAGACCTGAGAATGTAGACTGTGAGTGTTGAAAGCAGGGGCCATTAGATGTTACCCATTTTCCACCCCTCTCATCGCAGCTCAGGGTCTGGGACTCCTGGCTGACCCCTCAGCTCAGGGCCCTGACCGCTTTCGGGCCACAATGAAGCAGATCCCCTTGTTGGGAGCTATGGTGGCAGAGTAGCTCTGCTCACTGTGCAGGAGCTGCTCGATGTCAAAGCCAGCATCCAGGATAGCTCGCTCCACCTCCTCCTTCGTAATGTACAGGCAGGAGAACTGATGTTTCCCCACCATATAGGAGGAGATCTGCAGTGTGATGCTGGTCACCAGGTGGCCACCAGGCTTGAGCAGAGAGCCAAGGTTGCACAGCGCAGCACGGTAGGCGGCAAGGCTGCAGCAGGCACACTCCATGGCCAGCAGGGTGAGCACACAGTCAGCCGCAGGCAGCTCCACCGGGGCTAAGGGCTTGCCCAGGTTGACGTCACACTTGAGCACCCTTTTCACTGTGGCCCGGAGCTTCTCAGCCTTCTCCTGCCAATGACTGCTGCAAGGAGAGCAAAGGTTCAAAGACTGCATGTGGAAGCTGCCAGGAAGCCCCATCATCAAGGAAGCCCCTCCGCACCCCACAGGATTCCTGTCCCTCAGTGACCTGGCGGCAGGCACTTCCTTGGTCCAGGCCTCAGTTTCCCCAGTGGGAAAAAGTCAGGGAGAGTGGACCACAACATTTCTAGGAACCTTGCTCTCTAGTTCCCTGTGAGCCCCCTTCCCTTGGTCCCCACGAAGGACAAAGATCCCGAAGTGTGGTCAGGACATCATAAACATCGTTGGATGGATAGATAAATGAAAGATATTGCCACTGATAATTTATGGATATAGCTATCTTAAAAACATAATGTTGAGTGATGAACAGTAAATCCTAGAAGATAACAGAGCAAATTACTCTACTAGGAAGTTCAAAGGCACTATTTAAACAGCCTTACACAGGCAGGTAATACCAATTTTCAGAAAGCAAGGAAATGAGAACTATGTAATTCACACGTGATTTTCTCAGGTAGGGGAGAAAGGGAGCAAGGAACACAGGAGAAGCACAGGTAAGTCTTCTTGTGTCCGGGTGCCAGATTGGGTGATGGGCACATGTCATGATGTCACAACAGGTAGAGATGGTAAAGAGGAAGGAGGGCAAGAAAGAAGGGAGAGAGGGATGGAGGAAGGAAGGAAAAAGAGGGAAGGGCAGAGGAGGGGATGGGAGAGAAGCGGAGGGAAGGGAAGGGAAGGAATAAAGGAGAGAGGAAGAATGGGTCCAATCCCTGGTCGGTCCCCAGTGGCCATAGCTGGCTATACCACAGTTCACCAGGTTGATGCCAACACGGGGAGCCCATCTACTGTGCCCCCACCCTAAAACATCTGGTACATCCTTGAGGATCAAAGACAACTGAGGCCGGTTAGGCCTCCGAGGAAGGAGATTGGGATCCAGTAAAAAGGGACTTCCCAAGCCCTGTCTCTTACCTGTTCCCTTCCAGCTCACAGGCGAATTTCAGCACTGGGGTCCAGTCAAAGGCCCCCGCATCCTTCCTCAGCCACTTCTGCAGCTCCTCCCTATTGCGGTCAGTGAAGTCAGAGAGGGTGATGTCGCTGAAGGCCTCACAGGCAGCCAGCACTTGGTAGATGGTAGGGCCTGAGCCCACATCGATCAGCGTTTCCCCTCGGATGCCCCCTGTGATAGCGACAGACCCCTGAGGCTGGTGTGGGCAGGCAAAATAGATGATACCCAAGACAGTCTGAGGGCGAGTGCGACATGCACCCTGCTTTTACCTAAGGAGACACAGCTACAAGCATGATGGCCATCACTGCCTGGCAGCTTCCTATAGGCCAGGTTCCTGCTCAAATCCTATTGCATTTATTTCCTTTCACAACCCACAACTACCCTGCACAAGGACTATTCTTCTTACTTCTGTGTTATGGATTAGGAAACATAGTCAGGGAAAGGTTAAACAATTAGCTCAATCTCTTTCGGCCAACAGATAAGCACTCATCTGTCCTGCACAGACAGCAGGAGTCCCAGCCTTGTTCCAGAGCAGATCCACACTAGAGTGTTCTGAGCAATGTATGGCACGGTGGCCTTTCAGCTCTGGGCTGACCGGGGCAGGGCCTCTCTCGGATGTTCTGCCTAGATGGACTCCGGCAGGGTGTGGGAAGAGGACCTCAGAAGATTCCAGGGGCGAGCAGAGGATTTCTGGAATGGAGCTTGGCTTCCAGCACTGCATCAGGAACCTGGGCTCAGGGCCATCGCTGCTCTCTGATTCTGCCTCCCCTCCTGCCTGTCCACCAGGCTCTCAGCCTCTCAGCATTTTGTTGCCCCAGGTCACTGTTCCCCAGCCCAATACCAATGAGTGAGCATTTGGCTGCCCAAGCCAGTAGTACATGAGCTAACCCTGGATTTCCTGAGAGCAGGTAATAATTATCAGTTCACTACAGATAGTTCAGCTGAGGCCTCTGGTGCTGAGGACCAGGCCAGCAGGTTTGTGTCAGGGCTGACACTTCATCCAGAATTCCTGCACCCCTCTCCTCCAGGCCCTCGTCACCACCACATCCAAGATACACAATCCAGATACGCAGTAATCCTAAACCCACCACTATCCACACTTGCCCTCGGCTTTCTCAGGCGGAAAAACAAGGCTGCACTCGACGATCAGAAAACCACCCCCATCAAACCCCAGGGGCTTATGGAGAGCAATTTTGGGACTCTGTACATCCTGACCCCTGGACTGCACACAGCTCCAAGGTAACTGGGAGACAGACCTGACCTCCAGAACCCCAAAGCCCCTGGAGGGGACCTATCTCACCCAGAACATCTGTTTTTCTGTCTCTTATGCAGTATCCCTGAAGAAAGGCCATCTCTGCTCACCTGGGCCAAAGACCTTGTGGAGAAACTGCAGACTAAACTTGATCATCTCTGTCTCTGGTGAGGGGCCGTGCTCAAAGCTATAGTAGGTGTCCAGGTAGTCCTTGGGCGAGAAGTACTTCTGGTACTCATCGGGACCAGTGAAGCTGCCCTCCATGGCGGCCCTGAGTTCACTCTCCCTCCTGCCTTCCCTTATAAATGTTCCAAGCTCCAGACTCCACCTCCAGGAATTTGAATCCTCCCTGCTCTTCCCTTGCCAGCCTGACCTTGAGTGTCCAGTTCTGGGAGGAGCAGAAGATATGAATAGCCTCATCCCACTTACCACACCGACACACCTTACCTGAAACTTCTCTAGACCCAGGGCCATGGTGGCTGCTGCAGATGTGTGACCCTGCTTGCTCTAGTGACCGGCCCCTGTCCGCCTCTGGTAACTGGTGGTGTGCAGCTCTGGTACCTGCATGTGACCTGGGGCAGCTGTCAGAGTTCCCCATCTGCATGCCCTCTCCTCTGGCTCTGGAGACCAAAGCCATTCCCTGGGTCACAGGTGTCACGGGCCAGAGAGCACAGCAAGGTCCCCATCATGTCCTGGTGGTCAGCAGAGCCCAGGGACTCTCTTCAGTGCAGTCAGTGGGCATAGCTCCATGGCCCCAGTCCTGCTGGAGATAGATCAGAGATCAGATTCAGGTGTGAGGAGGGGACAGGGCAGGATGGCTGGCTTCACATCAATGGGCAGGTGATTGTGAGATCAAAACCCAACTTGCGGGGCCTAGGGTGTAGCTCATTGGTAAAGTGCCTGCCTACTATGTGCCAGGTCATGGGTTCAATTCCTTCCCAGCAGCGCCAAAAGGAAAAGAAACACACACTCACAAGCTCCACGAACAAGAACAAGAATGTCCAATCATAAACTGTCAGAGGAGCCATGGCTTTCTGGCCAGCAACTCAACATGCGACTTTGGCTAAATTAACAATAGGGTTATCCCTTCAGAATGGAAGTTTTGTAAAACTTTCCATACAGAGAAAAACTCAGCCTCCATTTTTGGCACCAAAAATAACTCTGACTTGGCCACAAACCAGAGAGAAATGAATTGCAACGCTTCATGTTCAGGCCCACTGCCCTAGTAGTGGGTGGGGCAAGAATGTTTAGCACTAGCTTTAAGTAAGCAGACGATTCTGACTCCCTAGAGCCCAGCAGCCGACAGCCTTCACAGGGGAGGATCACCCAGCAGTCACTTGCCTGATTTCTACGAGGGAGGCCAGGGACCATGGCTTCCAAGCAGGCAGGAGCCTACAGCATTCATGTTACAAAATTCAAGAAGTCGTTTTCCTTCTCCCTTCCTTCCGTCCTTTCTTCCTTCCTTCTTCCTTCTTCCTTCTCCACCCCCCCCTCTCTCTCCCTCTTTCCATCTTTTCTTTGTGACAATGTCCTCCTATGTGGCACAGGATGGCCTCAAATACAACATTCTCCTGCCTCAGCCCTCCAGAGTCCTGAGATTACAGAGTCCCTGCCCAGGACAAGGAGTGTTTAATAAAGGGAACAGAATGACACAGGTGCTAGTGGACACTGAGGGAAGTCACTAGGTACCTGCATCACTCAGGGCTCTCCAGAAAAACAAAACCACAGGAAATGAATGTAGACAGATATTTGTTTTAAGGAATTAGCTCATACATTTATGGAGGCTGCAAGACCAAATCTGCAGGGCCAATTTTAAGGTTCAGCACAAGGCCATCTGTGAAGAATTCCCTCCTGCATGGGGAAAGTCATTCTCTAGCTTTGTTTAGGCCTTCACCTGAGTGGATGAGGCCCACACACATTAGGGAAGGCATCTGCTTTACTCAAAGTCCACTAATTCAAATGGAATCTCTTCAAAAGCATCCTCACAGAAACTTCCAGAACAATGAATTACCACACATCTGGACACTGTGGTGCAGCCAAGTTGATACATAAAATGAACCTTCACACTACCCAGGGCTAGGGGCAGGGGAACCATTGTCTTCCTAGGACCAAGACAGAACTGGGCAGGGAGGGTCTTGGGCAACAACCAACAGCAAAGGAGCTGAAGATTAAATACCCAGCCCTGCCTCTCCTCCCTCCCATATCCTGCCTCACTCATCCAGCTGAAATCTAGAACGGAGTCCACCGAGATGGCCTCCTGGGGCTCGCAGAAGCTGGAGAAGGATGGAGAAAGGATGCCCAGGGGCACAGTGAAGCATCCCTTTTACATATGGAATTGAACTGTGAACACAATTATGCCGCCCAAAGACCATGCAGAGGGTGGAGGCATCTAAGGGATCTGTGTAGAGGTGGGAAGATCATCTGTCCAAGACGATGCACCCTGCTGCAGTTGGATGCCCTTGGAAGGACAGGGGACACCCTCCCCAATCAAGGCCTGTAGCACCTTCTGCTGCCCAGAAGCATTAACCCAAGTTCCTCCCCTGGACTCTACCCTCTGGCTGCACCCTACCTTCCTCACCCGCCCTCACCTCCCTTATACATCCCAGCCCACATCTGACTCTGGCCTGGCCAGAGGTCCCATACAGCACTAGGATAATCTACCCAAAGCAAGTCTCTTAAGGATCTATTCTAACAAGAGTGCTGTCAGCTTCGGGACCTGCTTTGAACCAGATAATACTTTGTTGGGATGGTGATCTGAAGTCTTCACTGTAGGAGTTTTAGCAACCCTGGCATCTACCCATGAACTGCCACTGGGTCCCAGTTTGCACTTGGGGCAACCCAAAGTATCTCCAGGGATTGCCATATGTCCCATGGGTGGCAAAACTGCCACTACTTGAGGAGCACTGTCCTACTGTTTGCCTTCATCAAGCTGACACATTCCATGCACACCAGGGAAGCTTCTGTGCATTTGAAGAGTGTGCACGTCATTTGAGCCATCTTTCTACATGTGATCAGTTAACATCTTAAAGAAATGTCTATCCAAGGGAACTTCTGCCATAGTCTTCAGCAAATGAACAAATATCAAGCTACCTATCAAGAAAATGAGACGCTGGAAAAGTCAACAAGATATGAAAAAATCAGTGTTCTATTCTAGACAAACAACCAGCACAGCACACCATGCTCTGCACGACCTCTGTTATCTGTCTTCCTATTGATTTTTTGGGATAAAGAAAACAGCCCAGAGGAGAGAAACTGAAAATACAAACAATGAAGAGTTTAAATTTGAGCTCTGATGAGTTGCCAACTTCATACCAAAGCCCAACAAAGTCAACACTGATGCAATCACTACCACCAAGTCTCTCAGAGGACAGAAGTTTTTGAACTTAGAAAAATATGAAAGAGAAAAATAATAAATTTATCATAACCTATCATAGTATCACAGGGAAGTGGCTTCCAATCTGTTTTAGAGATCAGATGTGCCAAGTCCGTGTCTCTGGATAACTGGAGAATGGATAAGGACAAAGGGGATTAAGAGTAAGTGAAGTTTATTGAGAGAAAGCTCTAGAGAGACAGGAGTCCCGAAGGTTAGTTGCTACTGAGGCTCTTTTACTGGGTGTTTTATACACAAAAATGATCACATGTCAGGCTACCCTGAGGCAAGCCGAAGCCAGCCAAAAGGATTACAAGTACGGTAGCTTAGCTAATACTGATCCCAGAATGAGGTATGTAGCAAAGGTATATGGTAAGCGTCCCTTACTTCAGCTTACCTATGACTTCTAATGCAGAATAATCAAGGCAATTCAGGGAAGAGACAGGAGTCTGAGTCAGGGTGTTCTGATGCCTCATGCATCTGCTGCCTTATCTAAGATCACTGAACCAGGGGGTGCTGATTGCCCTACAGTCTGTGTCTAGGCAGGCCTGCAGGCCTGACTTTCTTCTAATTCATTTCCAGCCACAGTTTCGATGTGTCTTTTGCACTGACTTCTTTGAAGGCCTGGTTCCTCTCCAGCTGCCTGTTAATTTCTGTCTAACTTTGCTGTCCATAATATTCCCCCCCTGAAGAGGTGTCTGCCATTAGGGGAAGATGGGTGAAGACTATTGCAGCTTTTTAATGCTGGAGGGAGTTGGCATAGTAGGTGACAGTCAGGGAGGAGGTTCTATCCAAAGTACCTTTGAAACATGTCAGGTGTCCTTTTCAGTAGATGAATGGCCTTGGGTCTAGAAGAGACAAAGCTGATTAAGCAATTTAATATGCATAGCCCAAACTTAAGAAGCAGAATGGAAAAGCAGAATGAGGAAAGGAGCCAAGTCCAGACACTGTTCTTATGGGATTGAAGTAAGAATTGTAGTTAGCTAAGTCTTTGATATGCTTATTCACAGAGGTTATCTATACATTTCATTTCTATTGTTTTTAGATCTTTCTCCACCTTATGTGAATTACTTATCAAAAGAGAAGGAATTTGAAGACTCTTGCTGAGCTTTTATGGTTGTCATTGTGGCTTATTAGACTCATTAAACTATCATAGTGATAAGCTATAGGTGTAAGGGGGAGACTGCTAACAGGGGTCAGTGTAGTCATTGGAGTCCCCTTTCTATATCTAGCCTACATTATTATTATTTGCATTTTTTTGTTAAACGTTCTTCCTGGGTGTTTAAAACCAAATTAAGGTAAGATATGTGTTAATCAAAATTAATTTCTCTCTCTCTCTCTCTCTCATTAAGGGTCCTCCTTGGAGATTATTTTTGGGACCTTGTACAAAGCCTCTTATCTCCTCAGTGTAACCTTCCAGGATTAGTTTTGGTCTTGCCTGACCATATGGCTTCCCATAGAAGCAGAGAAGGTGATTCCTTCTTTGATGACTCTCCCTTTTTGTACTGTGTCTTCTGGAACCCAACATTATCCCTGCTCAGGAGGTTGGGTGACTTAGCAGACTTGTAAAATTCTTTTGGAGAAGTCCCCTCATGTCTTGGGTCCTTGATTGCCTTGCAGGACCAGGGCCAAAACATTGATTGCCCTCTTAGCCTAGATATCTTTTTAGCTTTGGCCTCTAAGCCTTGGTTGCTGAAACACAGAAGGTCAGTTCCACCGGTACTGAAATGGAAGAAGTAAGTTTAGCAATCATAATTTTATCTGGATATAAGCACTTTGACATGTAAAGTCTGGCCAGAGAACTGGTGGGTTGTTTTTGTTTTATTCTGTATTGTTTTTTAGCAATCATGGTTGTCTTAGAAGTCACATTTCTACAGAATGTTAATAGACGACAGCTATAGAGTTTTCTAGGGAGATTTTGA